TTAGGGTTTCAATTGTTGTGTTGAAATATGGCCAAAAAGCAAGTTGGAGAAGAAAGGGTTTATTTGTCTTCTGTATCACTGTTCATCACTCAAGGAAGTCAGGACAGGAACTCACACAGGGAACGAACTGGAATTCAGGAGCTAATGCAGAGGCCTTGCTGCTTACTGGCTTGCTCTTGTGGCTTGCTCAGCCTGCTTGTTTATAGAACTCAGGACCATCAGGATTGGACATTCCCAAATTGACCACTAATTAAGAAAATGCCCTACAGCTGGATATTTTTTACTTTCTTTTTTTTATTCTTTGTATCTTTCACATCATGCATCTTGATCCCTGAGTGTCCACCCTCCTGCCCTTGCAGCAGCGCCCCCTAAAATTTATGAGAAAAAAGAAAAATGGAGGAAAATCTCATTGTGGAAGCTGTAGTGTGACACAGTGAGTCATGCTGTAAACCTTTTTATCCATATATCTTTACTTATAAGTGTTCATGGCAAAGAGACATTGGTCTGGTTTGAGGCCTCTGGTTTCTGCTACACTATGGATGCTGAGCTCTCACTGGGACTCCTCTTGGTTGTCCTGCTGTTGTCCTGTGTTGTGGAGATCCTGCAGCTTTGGGTCTTCAGGACAGGTCCCTTCACTTACTCCAGAAGATCACAGATGGGTTGCATGTTGGGGTGGGCCAACTCAGAATGGTGGTTATGAGCCTGGGTAGTTGCAGGGTTTGTCAGTCTGCCAGCTCTCTCCAGTTCTCACTAGCAGATGAGGGGTAGGACTAGCTTTCTAGCTCTTATAACCTCAGGGCCAGCTCTCCCACCTGCCTCAACAGTTGATGGGGGGCAGTGGGAACAGAACATCTCTCTGCCACCCATGCTGCCACATGACAGGTGAGTAATGGTGACAGCTCTTCAATGCTCGCAATATCAGGGCTGGCTTGCCCACACCTCTGCCAATGGGGTTGGCTCTATTGTGCTGTCCAGGCAAGGTGCAGGACCTGCTCTCCCAAGTGCTGCAGCTGGTGGCGGGAAGGGGCAGCTCTCCTGCCCTTCTGACCTCAGGGCCAGCTTTCCCATCTGCCTCATGCATTGATGAGTGTGGGGCCAGAGGGCATCTCTACCCCGCCCATATGGCCACATGACACATGAGTAATTGGGGACAGTTTTCCCATGTTCACAACTTTAGGATACAGCTGGATCTCATGGAGGCATTTCCTCAACTGAGGCTGCCTTCTCTCTGATGACTCTAGTTTATGTCAAGTTGACCACAAACTAACCAGTTCAGCACCCTACTCATAGCTTAATGGGTTACAAAATCTTCCAGTCTGCCTGGTGATGACAGGCCACTTTTCCTGGCTTGGAGTGAGCAATGGGCACTGTTTCTGCTAATTGGTTGTTTGTTTCTTCTCTCTGTTGTGTAACTTTCTCAAGGCATATGCTTTTAAGTGCTGTCCCCAACAACGAGAGTTACCTTCTAAAGTTCTCCAGGTTTTTTCCTCAGTACTCCTCTTTATTTTGGTACTCTGTCCTATAAACTCCATCAACCTGGTAGAAGTCAAAATTTCCAGGTTGTCAATAGTTGTGCACTTAAAAATTGTAGCCTTTTTTCCATCAAAAGCAGCAACAGACAAAAAAAAAAAGCCCAAAGGCAGAGAGGCTTCTGTTCCAGGCTCCATTTCTCACCTTTGTTATCAAAGAAGTGTTGAATAATGACATTTCAAGTATTTTTCTCAGATTTTTCCAAGGCTCTGTATTTATTGTTTAGTTCGACTCCTATAAGCCAAAAATGGTAGAAGTGTTATCTTTAGAGGTGCAGATCCTGAGAATTAAGATATATAATTAAATTTTATCCTCAAGTACAAACTATTACTTTCATGTTTGCACCTAAACACATTTTCATGATAATAATCAGTGAAACTTGATCAGTTGGTCCTTTGCAAATAACAGATGTTATAAAGTGCAGCTTTGTTTAAAAATTGCAATACCAGCCAGATGACATTCTTGTTTCCTATTTTTGTTACTTGGCTGGGTAGGTGCTGCTAGACATTGAACCCAAGGTATTGAGCATGGCGGACATATGCTTTGTCACTGGAGCTATATTTCCAACCTGCTGGTGATATTTTCAAATTATTATTTACATCTTCGTGTGTGTGTGTGTGTGTGTGTGTGTGTGTGTGTGTGTGTGTGTGTGTGCATTAGTGTGCACTCCATGGAATGTATGTGGAGGTAAGAGGACAGCTTTGTAGACTTGCTTCTTTCCCTCTATATGTGTGTTCTGGGGAAAGAACTCAAATGGCCCTGACTAACCTTCACTTACTGGACCACAAGCTCTTAGACTATCTTCCGGAAACTATAACTAACACACACAAAAATTGAGTATTGGAAAAGCGAGAACACTAGAAATCCCAAAACAGCTCTGGAATAATGCTCAGAGTTGTTCTTTACATTTAGAGAGGTTATTTTTTTCTGTTTTGGGCAATTGGGTCTAAGGGTCTACTTTTTCCTCACTGTCTAATAAAAGGTAGAGTGTACCTCTATTAAGACTGAGCTAACATTTAAAATATAAGCCCTCCACAACTTTTATTCAGAAAATCATTGAATGCTGTCATTTTCTGGACCCATTGGAGTTTTTCTTCGGATGACACTTCTGGTTAGGCAATTTAGAGAAAGACTTGTGGGAGTGTGCCTGACCTGATTTAAATCTAAGCAAAAGAAAACTAACTGGTCAATTTGTTAAGAGCTAGTGATGATTGCTTATTCAGCTCTACTCTGAGTGTCTCTAGACACTGGTTCTATCTTACTTTTGCATCTAAGTATTCAGCTCAAACCTCAACCCAGAAACCTTGGCTCATGGTAGGCACTTCTTAAATAGTTACTGGTTGCTTATTGTTAGCTCCTCTTTGGTGAATAAGACAAGTTTGGGGACATTTGACTTTCCTTTTCTTTGATGGCTCAGCTGCAGCACTCAAAACAGTTTTCAGGCTCACATGTCTACTGGAGGGAATAAGCTGTTTCCACATACCCTTACCTGGCCTGAGCTCTGCAGCCAGGGTTGCCTCTCCCGACAGTGCTCAGAAGAACCGAGGATAAAAGAGAGGGCGCTTTGCAGCAGTGTGCCAGAATGAACTTAACTCCTACTGTCCACTTTTGCTAGTTCCATCTATACGGAGACAACGAAAGATCCACTAGTGCAAAAAGTATAAGAAAATGATGCACTCCAATTGTATATCTAAATATTTTCAGCCAACTATCTCTGGAGACTTTTCTCCTGCATGGAGGGTCAGCGACATATAAAAGGAGCTGTGGCCAATGGGATGTTGCTGTAAGTGGAGGTAGAGATGAATAACACAGGGCTGCCAGAGCCATTCCCACCTGAGGGGCCTTTCTTTCCACCCAGAGTCAAGATGTCATCCAGGCCTAAGCTGCTGCCAAGGGCTATCTCTTGGTCCATATTCCAGCCACAGCTGGGGTCTGTGTTGAGGTCTGTGGCCAGTGTCACCCCAGGAGGCCTTAGGAATCATGTGAGATGAAATCAGAGGACTACACTGAGCCAGTCCCACCCTTCACTGCCCTGGGAAAGCTGGCCTTACCTTTTGCCGGCCATCACAGCAGGAGAAGTGGCTCGTGCACCTGGGAGAGAGGACCCCCATCCCTGGCCACAGTCGAGGATGAACCTACCTACCTAGAGGGTGTGCATGTAGGGGAGGCAACTTTGTCTCTGCACTCAGGCTGGTGGCCCCAGTGGTTCGATTTGGCCTACCTGGCTAATGCCCAAGCCCTCAACTGGGTCTTGGGTTGACCCACCCTAGCATCTACTCCATCTGGTCCTGCATTCGGGGCACCCACAGGATACTCCAGAAGAGCTCTGGTGAGGATCCAGCAAGGTTGGTGTACCAAAAACCAGAGGCAATGGACATCTGCCAGTCAAGCTGATGGGACAAAGGAGTATACTATATGACACACCAAAGCCTCCGGTGCCATCTGGACGGATGGAGAGGTGAGAAAGAGAAGCAGAGAGTTTTCTGTTCCTGGTGTGGCTTTTGTTCTGTTTTGGTTTATTGGGGTTGCTTTTGTTCTTGCTTTTGTTTGCTTGCTTGCCTACTTCATTTTGTTTTCTTTAGTGGGGGGCATAACAGGGACAAGAGAGACTTGGGGGAAGCAGGAAGTGAACAGAATTGGGATGCATGATGTAAAACCCCAAAAGATTCAATAAAGAAGCCTTTTTTAAAAAAAAGATGTGAACAACAGTGATGTCATTTAGAAAAGTATGTGTTAATTACTTAACCAATGTAAAGTATCATTCTAAAGAAAGGAACTTGAGAATTATTCTATTAAGAAATTTATTAGTTACAAAGCAGCATATATATTTTCAAAAGTGCTCACAAAATAAATTAGAAATACATTATATACAAGTTTAAATATATATCTTGTAGCTGCACAAAGGCACTTTGGGTCTGCCTGTATCTCCCACTGTTGTCTGTTAGACACTTTTAAAGCTGGATTTACACAATAGTTTCTTTCAAGTTTCACACACATCTTCAGACTGCTTCATTGTGGCAGCAACTGCTTGCACAGTTTCCTTTGCTGTCATTTTCTTCTTAGTAAAATTTTAGGATAAGAATGTTAGAAGAATCATTACAGATAGAAAAATTCTTGCTCTTGAACAGAGTTTAGATGCTGTCACTGGCTCCAACTATTTTTTCCACTTTCAATTCCCTTCCCTACTCTACTTTTGGGTTTCTCCAGAGTAAGGTGTCTGCAGGTGCAGAAGAGAGATGCTACTCAGAAGCCAGCCATTAACAGAATAGATATTTCCATTGACATTAGAGGGTCTGTGCTTATCTCCCATTAAAGTGCCTATACCAAACAATAGCAATTTGCCAGAAATAAGTTTAAGAATCCCTTCTGTAATTAAAGATTAAACATTAGTGTTCTTTTAAATGTCACACCCTTAGTATTCTGTCTACTAAAAACATGATATATTTCCCCCTATATAATGAAAGATAAGTTTAGTATTTTAGAGTTTGAAGAAGGGAATGCCACAAGAACTGTATTTGTGAGGTTTGATTCAGGCAGATGTCTTTGACTTCTAGCTTCATTTCCTGAGCATTGTTTCTCTGTGGAATAGAAGAAAACTCAACATTAGTTTTGCTATCTTTAACAACTGGTGAGTGACAGCTTATGTTTCTATTTATAACCCTTTCCCAAGAAATTCCCCAAATACATGTTCACTGTATGATTGCATGTGCTTCTCCAAAGGAAGGCCCTGCCTCTCTCACCTCCTCCTCCGTAAAGCCTCTGCTAATGGTTCAAACAGTTCTTTCTGAAACACTTCTGGACCTCACAGTAGGTGTCATTTCACTTGGCTCTTACTGCTATTGCATCACGGGTATTCCCCAAAACACTGAGTACAGAGTTTTATAAATAAGAGACATTAGTTACTTATTGCATAATTAAATGTATGAATAAAATTACAGTTTCATGATCCCTTTGACAAGATAAGCTCCCAGAGGGCACAAGCTGTCTTTTGTGTCTTGGTAGGCATAATTCAATCAACTCAGGCTGTTTTTCAAAACTCAAGGTTTCTTGCTCACACATCCACCTTACTAGATACCTACAGACCCACTCTGAAGAGGATTCTGGCATAGTTCTTCAAATGAATTGCCCTAGAGTCATGACAGACTGGGTCTCCTGGGGATAAAAGTTACTGGCTTATTAAACAGTAATGTTACATCTTCTTCAGCTTCACCTTTGGGCTAGGAAGAGGCTGAGATAAATTCCTCCAGGTTGTCCCCCTTTCACACAAAGTTTATAGATTTAATCAAGTCTGTCCTCTGGGCTCTGGTTATTGCTAAATTATACTGTGTCTATCTGAAGATTTGTTAGGGTCTTCATGAAAAGAAGGCACTGAGCCAAACAGGTTTCTTAGATGGCTGCCTAATACTGTTTTACTCATGCAAGTTCAACCTAGGTGGCTTCCACTTCCAGCCTGATTGAACTCCTGGGTTCAGTCTTGAAGCCCCCCAACACAAGACAGTCTTATCTACATTTACATTCAAGTGATAGACAAAGTCCACTAAGTTAACCAGTTTACTTGTGCATGCACACCCAAAAGTCTGTCTTAATCATGGCATCATGAAAACAAACATTCTGCTTGCCAAGTGAAGCAGATGCTGACGAACTGTTATTATGTGTCAGGCACTGTTCTAAGTGCTTTCACATGTGCTGACTCACTTAGTTCCCATAATAACCCTGCATAGGAAGCATTAATATCATCTCTGCTTTACCAAAGCACTGTAGGCTAATTACTTTATCCAAATCTCGGTAGCTCAAAGTTAGGCAGGCTGTCTCTGAAGTTCCTAGTCTTAATTTTCCACTCATTCATATCTAACTGCATACACAAATAATTTGTGAAAAGAGATTGCAATTCCACACAAGCAGGGGAGTGAAATAGGGTAGAAGATTAATGTAAATGTTAAGGAAAAGCACATTACTACAAAGTGACTGTCTAGGCAGAGAGTGAACAGCAACCTTTTAAGGGGCACCAGACCCAGGAATTTTGGGGGTGTGGATTGTGTGCCCTAGAATTGGGTTTTTGAACTGTCATATTTCAGGAACCAGGAGAATAATCTGCTACCATGGGAGAGAGGATCAATGATCACACCTTGAAACACCGACTTAGAGTTAGAACCAAAATTCAAACCAAAGAACAACAAAATGGAACTCTAGAGATAGACTGTGTTTGTGTGTTTCTGTCTAATTAAGCTCGACTGACCACCTGGTTCATTTGCTCCCTAAAAGATAAAATCAGAATCAACAACAACAACAACATAAATCACTGCACTTAAAGCCCCGGGTTAACTCAGGGCTCTTTTTTCCCCACTCATTGTAAAGCTAGCATATGATGTTTGCGACTTACCTGAGTTTCTGAGTAGCCTGGGCATTGACTAATGAGGGTCGCTTTCGTATGCAAGGCGAATATTTCCCGGGGGAGTGACGGGCAGCCCGGGATAGGATTGAGAGTAAGGTACTCGATTTTCATGAGACAATCTGTCTGCTCACAGAGTTCAGGGAGCAAAGAAAACGCCAGAAATTAAAAACTGAATGAAAGGGGCAGGGAGGGGTTGGGGAGGAGAACGGAAGACACGACGAAGGTGTTTGGGATCAGAATCCAAAGTCTGGGTTGAGAGAGAAACGGAATCAACCCACAGGAAGGAGGGGCCTGGCAAAAGTAGCTCCTACTGGAAGGGTTTCCACCCCTGCTGGCTCTGCCCAGCCACATAGGAAAATGTCAAGAGCCAGCACAGACGGTAGATGCCCGGGGTCCCTGGGAGGTATCAGGACTTTGTTCCTCCGGGTTTCCCATTGGCCTTTCTTCCCAAGGCAGAAGCGATTGCCTACTGCAATCTTGTTCCGCCAACAGGGACTTTATCTTTCTAAACCCAGAAGTGGCGCCCTAGACTGCTTGGAGCCTTGCTCTGGAAACCCAGATGTCTCCTCAAGGCTCAGCAGCCAGCATCTCCTGGAGCTCAGCTACCTTCTGGGTGGTCTTCCCCAGCTCCCTGCCCGGTTGCCTGCCACCCCGGGGAAAGCCAGCACAGCCAACAACTTCACTCACCGAGTTGTCACAGACCTCGTTTTGTTCGAACAGACTCTGGAAGAAAGCAAATTGGGATAAAGATCTGAGTCGGAGGGAAAATCGTTCCCCAGACCTTTGCTTCCAGGCTTCCAGGGCTCTCTGAACGCAGTTTCAACCCAGTGACTTGACCCTATGTGATGGACAACGTGGTGAAACATTTAGTTTTCTGCTTTCGCTAGCTTTACAGAGGGAGCCCTAGCCCCACCCAAAGCAGGCATACCTGCGCCTAGCGCTTACTAGCCACTTCCAGCAAAGGACCATTCTTTGAAAGTCTACAGATGTTTTATAGCCATCCATTTTTGCCACCAACTCACACTATACTTAAGAATGTGGATTATTAGAGAAATAGCTACTACTCTGTATTTAAAAGAAATTAAAGTGTGCCATATCTCACAGCAGTATTCTGAAACATCTAGAACACTAGAAAGCCACAAGGCACAGCTCCATGGCTTAGCTGCCCCCACTCCTGAGTTCTTATGTCACAAGGATTCCCCCTGTGTAGCCAGGAGTAGACTAATATCCATAACTATTACCAGACTCTGCTTGCTCCATAAAAACCATGTGTATACACATTTTATATGCCAAGGTATTTGAAATACCACTTCTAAGAAAGTTTGGGGATAATTTTTTCCAAATTATTTTCCTTTTCTTGAAAGTTAATTTGTGGCTTGTGTGATATGCAGCTACCTCCCCATTTTCAAGAAAGTCTCTCCACTTACCCCATTCAAATATTCAAACAGGTCAGGATAAATTGCTTCAGAATACATATTTGAAATCTCCTCGAAGTTACAATTAGAAAAATTGTAAGCTAGCACCAACTGTACCACTTGCAAGATGAGGAGGTCCCTGAGAAGAACTGAAAAGACACACCATAAAAAAAATGTTCACTGAAACCCAGTTCCAACTCGGTTTCCCATGGAAATTTCCCCTCCACGCATGCAGAGCCTCTAGACCTGCAAGCACTGTGCTTAGGCATCAGCCCCAACCCACCTCCCCAGTCCACATAAGGTCCATATTCACCCATGCTGTTGCCTGAAGTTGGAGTCTTCCTGATGCTCCAGTGCTTTCTGGCTCCATATATATAACACCTAAACGCCTACGGGCTCTTTTCTTCTAGGCCAATGATTGTCTTTGATGTCATTCTTTCTTTATAGAATTCTAAATTGATGATGTAAAAGAAAAGAAATAGGGCTAGCCAAATCTATGGAATTTTATTTAACATTAGCAAAATTATCAGGAATTTCCCTCACCTTTCTCCTTTTAAAAAACTTTGCTCTAAACACTTGCTACATGCTTGGATATGCTTTTAGGGATGGATACTCTACTGTCATTTTGACATCTTTCTCCTACTGTACGGTTTCTATGACTGGTCCTTTCTGCTTGGGGAAAAACACCTTCTGCCACTTGCAGTCCCTCTAAGGGATTGTTACTGATGCTTTGCCACCCTGAACACCCAGAAAGTTTCCTTCGTGGAGTTTGAGCTGGTGCTACTGAGCAACTCGGTGTTCAAAATGATACATTTTGGAGGAGTGCAGCCTCGGGCTAAGATAACTAACTGAGACATCAAACTGGGACTGAGGGAATTGCAACCAAAACAGTGGGAATGGGAACAATGAAAAATTAGAATGTATGAAGAAAGGTTCAATGAGTCTCATCTTCAAAACTTTCAGGATGAGCACCTAAGCCTGATAAAGAAAAGTGGAGGTGGTGGGGAGGCACTTCATGGGCTGGGGACTCCTATACCCAATTCTAAAAGTGTAAAGTTTTCTAAAAGCATAAAGTCAAGCGCCCAGCCACCTTCATAATTCCATTATCTAGGGCTTTGTGGAGTGGAGATACCCCACCAGGAATTGCGGGGTTTCATAAAGTGAACCGTGAGGTCTGGTCTGCAGTTGTAAGCTGCTGGGGACCTGTCCAGCACGCTCACCTCCTGGAATAGGCAGTTTCTGACTTGCTAAGCTGCGCAGGCTTCCTGTCTCTCCACCCCCCTCCCCCCGCAACCAGCCTGAGAAACTTTGGGTGGCCTCAGGCCTGTGTCCCAGCACCAATAGCAGGGATGGAGAAAGGATCTAGATGGCGGGTTTGGATTTGTACTTCAAATCCTTGTAGATACACGGGAGGGAGTACGAAACAAGTACAGCCAACTGAGTCACGGAGAGCGCCTGAGAGGATGTCTAGCAGCCTTCTGATTGGAGCAGTGCCAGTACCGGGAGCAGGCAGTGAAGACCAAAATCGACCCAGCTGTTGAGATGAACCCCTACTCTGCTGGAGCTCAGCCGGCTGCCCCAGGCCCTCAGAACACTCAGTCCACTCGTCCACTCCCCCCTTTCTTCCATGTCAGAGCCTGCATCAATCTGGTCCTTGGGAAGTTCCTAGGAGTCATCGCTCAGAGCGATGAGGTTGGGCACTCCACGTGAGTCCCTACAAATGTCACAGACCACGCTGAGCCAGGGAAGGAGCACAGAGATTGGTAAATGATGCGGGAAAAGCACAGATTGGAGCCAGAGGTGAACTTTTCCCAGAAGGTCTTCAACAGCTGGACCCAGTTCTCTGGTGTTAGTGTTAGGACTAGAGAGAAAAGATTGCAGCGATAGCAGAAGGGTGTAAGAAAGCATCTGCTTCGCTGATGACTTTAAAGACAGACTTTTCCGGACCCCTGCAAGTTTTAAACTTAAGTTATGATAAAATGCTGGGAACGTAGCATCACCGCCCCACCCCCCTTCCCATCGCTACTTCTCGAAGTGATGTGGGAAGATGCCAAAGCCTGATTCATATGGAGAAACATCAGACATGATTCTGATCAGCAGCTAGATATTGCACAGGCAGAAGATCCTGATGTGGTCACTGAATTAGGATAGTTCCAAGGGACAAAGGAAAGGAAATGGTGGCTGATTTTGTTGTCCCAGCTCATTTGCCTTTCCCTGTAGGGAACTAACTTCTTTATTGGTAATTGTGTGGTCTTTCAGGTCACTTGAGCTATATTGCTTTTCTGCTCGAAACTTTTAGGCAGATTCACTTGCTGCAGGGCCCGGGAGTAATTGCTGATGGGGGCAAGAATGTCACACAACAACCTGTTTTTCCCGGTAAGGTTTGGCTTGCATTCCCCCTCGGGGTGCACCCAGCCTACCTGTCATCTTTTGTTTCTCCTTTAAAACATGAGTCTATAGTCTATATATGTCTAGGTAGATCTGAGGAAGGCATGGAACATCCTTCAGGGACTTTAGAAGGCATCTCCTTGTCAAGCACATCACCTACATATTTGTCCCTTTGGTATCCAGTTTCCTTGCTGGTAATTATGTGACATCTTATGTCATTTCAATTATATTGACTTTTCCCCCCTCAAACCTTTTTGGTAGACTCACAGTTGATTTCTGCCTATTGCTACTGTGTTGACTCCAAGCTCTTTCTAGCCTTTCTTCCTTTATTTTTTCAGGCCTCCCTCAAACAGTATTCTAAGGTAATATACTCTGAACATTTCCTGAACTCGCCTCTTCTGGATCTTGTTATGGGATTCTGATCACAGAGCTGTGACACCAGGCTTCAGGAAAACAACTTTTAGCTGTGCTAACACAGGCTGGAGTTAAAAAGAACTGAATCCCGAGCCTGGCAAGATGGAGTCCTTTAGGATTTTTGCATCTTTGTCTCCCATACATGGTACCTGCATTTCACTGGTTATATTAAATCATAGGGTGGGATTCTAATGTGAAGGGAGGAGAAGGAAGCACTTTTAGGAGAGTTGTGGTGGGGTGTCATGAGTACTCCGGGGTGAGGGTAGCAAGAGAGATGTCACATGCACCCAAGGACACAGACCTAACCTCCTCAGGTGTTGGCTTGAGTTGTACAATACTCACCCCATTTCACATTTCTCCTACCTGGGGTATCACCCCGCTACCTTTGAAGCTGTACTTATTTGGGCTTCTATTTTATTGTGTTTAATTACATCATGTTTTGTTTTGTTCTCTCTCTCCCTCTCTCTCTCTCTCTCTCTCTCTCTCTCTCTCTCTCTCTCTCTCTCCCTCCTGTGAGAACCTTCAGCTAAGATGTGTTTTGTAATATTGATTTGTTCAGTGTTCATTTGTAATATTCATCTGTTCAGTGTTTTTTTTACTCACTCTGAAGCACTTGAAGTTAATATAACGATGCCAAAGTTAAAATCCAAACCAAAACAAGAAAGCAGGCAGGCAAAAACAAAACACAAGACAAACAAACAAAAAGCAAAAAAAATAAACAAAAAACAAAAAACAAACTAAGGTAAGAATGGAAGCAAGGGATGAGGAAGTGAGAGTAGGTACAGGGAGGCCATAGAACAATCACTATTAAGATTTGGGGGAAAAAAAAGACAATTGAGACAAAGGGAATAATTGAGCTTCCAAACCACTGGGGCATAGTGAGGACTGTAGCAGGGACTACAGCTTGCTCATGTATTAGGAGAAGTTGAGTTATCTTCAGCCATAGATATCACCATAGCCACCTACTGAAGGGAGCTTGCTACACAGATTTCTTTTGGTAGCTCATTGCTGCCACCTTCTTGGAATCTACTTAGGTCTACCTGGGGCAACCATCAGGCCAGGGCATCTTGGTGGAAATTCCTGTGTGCTGAAAAGCTTCCTGTTTTTATCTTATTCCATGTATTTAAATGCTGAAGGTCTGAACAGTATCTACATGTGCAGTTTGGGAAATCCTAGGTTGGATTAAGTCCGGGGCATCTTTCATTTGGTAGGAAATAGGAATGAGGTCATTGGTAGATCTGGGTGACTACTTAGGGAGTTTAGCAATATTCTCATCCATGGGCCAGGCCCAAAGATGATCCATGGCATAACCATCCTTTCCCCTACTCTCACTAGAAAAATATTCACTTGTTTCCTCAACTTTTAAAATAGTCTCATTCTTTGTTTGTTTACTCATTCTTTCTCGTCCCCCTTTTGAAAAAGAGATATTTGACACAGTGTCTCACTCTTTAGCTGGCCTTGTGATTGTGGCAGTCCTCCTGCCACAGCCTCATAAGTACAAGAATGACAAAAGTGAACTGCCATGCTTTATTTTCTTTCTCTTTCTAAATTTATTTCTTTACCCCATTTCTTCAATTTGTCCTGAATTTCAGTTTTCTTTTCTCTCAGCTTTCTCCCCTTTCTCTTATAAATCTCTCTTTTCTTTCTTTTTTTCAAGTTATCTTGCCCAAACTGGCCTCAAGCTGCTGAGCTCCTTGCCCCAAATGTCTCCATACATAGTTTGTCCAGTATATTTAAAGTTTTCACTCTGTTTAAGTTTGGGAAATAGAGCCAAATTTCTATGGAAAGTCTGCTTTATTTTTAAATTGTACTAAATTATAGAAATTGTGAATTTAAAAATGGGAGTGATAGCAGACAGATTTTATTGAAGGAATGGGGGAGATGCCCTTCT